GGCCTCCACCCACTTGCTGGTATGCCCTATCATTACCACGATATACTGCTTTCCTTTGGTAGACAGCGGCAGCTCTCCTGCCAAATCCAGCGACCATCGGTACCCCAAGCCTCGGATTGGTAGGGATTGCAGCTCGTCTCTTTCTCTCTCCAAAGCCGCCTTGTTTCGCTGACAAGCTTCGCAGGCTGCTACCATTGCAGCTACGTCCTTCCTCATGCTTGCCCACCAGTACATAGTGCTCAGCAGCTGTCGAGTCCTGGCTATCCCGTAATGCCCCAAGTTCCCATGGACCTTTAGCATGATCCTCTCCCTGTCTTGCGGCTGTGGCACGACGCTCCATCCTTCGCTAGTGCGCAGCTGTAACTGATCCTGAAACCATCGGTAATGCTGCCCCCTGGCCCTGGCCCGTTCGCTTACTCCTGAGTCCTCTAACGGCTCTCCTTTTATCCACCCCATGGTCTCCTGATCTTCCCACACATCCACCTGCCGCTGCTCTCCCTTCTCTTGCCCCCAGGTCACCTCTGCCACCTGTGCTAATGCTATCAGCTGTGCAACTGGCTGAATCGGAGGCGGGTTCCTGGATAACCCATCCGCGTGTTGCAGCGTCTTACCCGGTCGGTGACGGATATTGAAATCGAATCCCAACAGTTTGATTGCCCACCTGGCGTTCCTGCCCGTCAGTTCTTGGTTTTTCATCAACCATAGCAAGGGCTGGTGGTCAGTCACTAGCGTGAAGTGCCGGCCTTGCAGGTACACTTTGAAGTGGGTGATACCCCCACACAGCGGTCAGTCCCTCCCCTTCGTACGAGCTGTAGTTAGCTTCCCTAGGGCTACAGCTGCGACTGGCCAATGCTACGACTCTCTCTTCCCCATCTATGTCCTGGCAAAGCACTGCCCCCATCCCCATACTGCTCCAGTCGGTGTAAAGAACAAATGGCGCATCTGCCCGAGGTATCTGCAGCAGGGTACCCGTCTTCACTGCTTCCAGCAAATCTTGCCTGGCTGCTTCCTCTGTATCTCCCCACTGCCAACTCTTCCCCTCTCTGAGCAGCTGGTTCAAGGCGTGCGCTCGGCGACTGAAATTTGGCACGAACTTCCTGTAATAGTTCAGGAAGCCAAGAAGTGCCCTTAGCCCAGATTTGTCTTTCGGTGCAGCCAAATCGTCCAGCACCTTGACTTTAACTTCCTGTATCGCCAGCCGCCCCCCCCTCACCTCAAACCCCAGGTACGCCACTGTACGGCGGGCTATCTTGCACTTGTCCGGGTGGCATGTTAGTCCTGCAGCTGCTATCGCCTCCAGAGTCTGCTTCAAGTCCTGTACATGCTGTTCGTCGCTTCCACTGAAGATGAGCACATCATCAATGTAACAGGCTGCTGCTGGGATTCCCTTCAGCATCTGATCCATAGCCCGTTGAAACACCGCTGGCGCATTGCATATCCCGAATGGCATCAAATTGTATTCGTACAGCCCATCCACTCCGTGAAAGGCTGTTTTTTCGCTTGTCCCCTTCCTTGATAGCGATTTTGTTAAATCCTTGTCGTAAGTCCAGGGTGGAGAAGATCGTTGCTCCATTTAGTTTATCGAAGATATCATCCGCAGTCGGCATGGGATATCGGTCTGGGCTGGTGATCTTGTTCAGGTCCCTCAAGTCTCCACACATCCGCTTTGCTAACACCTTCCCCGTGATGTCTTTTCTGACAGCTACTACCGTGCCTGCTGCATAACTCGACTCTGACGGGCGTATCATGCCTGCTGCCAGCAGCTCCGCGCATTTCTCCTTGCGGATCGCCGCATCTTCTGCATTCATCCGCCTCCTGCGCTGATAAGTGGGCAGCTCCGTGGTTAAGTTTAACTCCAACTCTCTCCCTTTGTATCTTCCCAGCTCCTGTAAGTTGTATGCGAAAGTACCTCTGTGCTGCTGTAGTACCTGTCTAATTGCTTCTGCCACCTCCTTCTTTATGTCTTCTTGGGTAATCTGCTTCACATCCCATTTCTTGTTCTGCATGGCCTCCTTCACCACATCTTTCCTCAGCTGGGCGGGGTACCGCAGCTGCAGTATCTGTGCGTGTTTCCAGGCCATCCTCCGGACTTCGGGATCCACCTCCACATAGATCCACTTCTTCACCCTTAGGCCGGCCTCTAGCGCTGCTGCTAAACCGGCTCTCAGCCCCCCGAACAGCTCCACTAGTGTGACACTGTACTGGTCTATGCTTGCCCCCGGCTGGATTTCCATGATCTTCCCACCGCTTTTACTTCCTCCTCTCCCCATGCCTCCTGCCCTCCAGGCTTTCTTTGGTTCGGTCTTGATGAAACGCACCGGCAGCTCACTCAGCTCCTTCCCTTCCTCCCAGAAATCCGAGCGGTATAGTACTTGCTCCTGCCAGGTGCATATCGTAGTCCCTATCTTGTAGAGCAACTCCATTCCCAGTAAAATGTCGTAGTCGTCTGATTCTGTCAGTCCGCACTGCACCCTTATCGTTGTCTCTCCCTCCCCTCCCGGCTGCAGCGTAATCTCAATCAGATCCTTAGTGCATGGCATCCACTTAGGAGCCCCTCCTCCCTCTGCGGTCATGTTCAGTATTCCCCGTCTCACTGTTTCCCAACCTCCTTGCGCCTTTAGCTGCTCGGTCAGCTTTCTTCCCAGCAACACACTCTGCGCGCCTGTATCCACCACGGCATTTTCTACCAGAATCCCTCGTACCGCTACACCCTTCGGTTCCACCACCAGAGCCGTGGGCTGGCAGACCAGTCGCTCTTCAGGGTGCCGCCGAGCTGTCTTCGGCTTGTTAGTCCCCTCAGGTACCTTTGAAGTTCTTCTCATTGGCTGCTTCAGCTCCGCTCTACCGTCCTTCCCTCCACTCCTCAACCCCAAACTTTCGCGGTCCCTGGGTGGCATGGCCATTGTCCCATACTCAGCTTCTCCCTCCCCGTAATCTTCCTCTTCGTCGTCTTCCCAAGCTAGTAGCGCTTTCTCTGGGTCTTCGCTGATCTCCACCTTACCCATCTGCGCCTTCAGCTTTGCTAACTCCCTCTCCAACTGCTGTTCTCTAGCGGATTTTTCTCCCCCCTTCTCCTTCTTGCTGTAGCACCTTTCTTCCGTATGTCCCCGTTTCCTACAGAAGGTGCAGATCGGCGCCTTGGGACAATTCCGCCTGAAATGCCCTTTCTCCTTGCAGATGTCGCATATGATGTCGATGGCGCAATCCTTTCGCAGATGCCCGTGTTCCCCGCACTTGTGACACCGTCGCTTGTCTTCAAATGGTTTTTCTCTCCGTTCTTCTTCCATCCGCTTTCCTTCCACCGCAGCCCACGCCGGCCTCCTGCGTTCGCCTGATCTTCCTGAGCTCGCTCCGCGTAACCCATCGAAGAACCTTCTTCCCTCCTCTACCTCTTTCGCAACCTGATACACTTGTCGCAATTTCGCCTTCATCCCCAGCGCGTACAGTCGGCTCCGCATATCTTGCATCAGGTCTTCATCCAATCCACCCACAAACTTCGACACCAAGGTCCGTTCTTCCAGGCAGCCCATGTCTTCGGCCAGCTCCATCAGTCGATTATAGTACGCTAGCAGAGATTCTCCTCTCGCTCTCTTAAAATATTGGAACTCTGTCATCCGATCTGCTGAATGTCCCGGGAATTGTTCTCGCGGGCCTTCCAGGAATCGGTCGGTGATTTCCGCCGGCGCGAAGTCTCCCCGTTTACTCTACAGCAACAACCCTTGTCTCTCCACCCAGTAGTGCGTCAGCGCTTCCCCCTTGAGCGTTCTCCCCAATCCTCTGAAGAATTCAATGGGATCATGCCCCTCCCTCTCCCAGCAGTATCGGATGTCATCCACCATCATAAGGTAATTCTTCAGCGTGGGCTCCTCTCCAGGCGCTCCTGAGAAGCGATCTGGCACCTCAATCTTAGGTGGAGCTGCACTTATCGTTCTGCCCGTTCCCCAGCTCGCCGTTCCCCTCTCGCCAATCCCCACATGCTGATCTCCTCTTCCGGCCTCCCTGGATTCGTATCTTCCAGCAGAGAATCCGTGAAACGCCTCTCCTTCTCGCTGGCTCCGCTGATCTTCCTTATGGTCTCCCACTCTCGGTTCTGGGGTTCCACGCTGAGATCCTCCAACCCCGGCTGATCGGGATCCCATCCCTGGCGCTGGCGAATTGCAGTTAGAGCCCAGTGGAGGCTCTCCCCGTCGGTCGCCCTCCTTTCCTTGATCCGCGCTGCTATTACCACTCGCGTTCGCTGTTCCTTCTTCTGCTCGGAACCCAGGCGTCTTAGTCGGCAGGTCTTGCCCCTCCATCCTCCGCGCAGGAAATCTGTGACCTGAACGCAGCTGATGAGTATGTAGTTCTTGATCAAGGCCGCTCATCCCTTACGGTGCATCACCGCAGGTCCTCCAGGCGTTCGTACCTGTTCTGCTGAAATTTCAGCACTGCAACTTTTTGCTTGTATGAACAAGTCTAAACCCCCTCGCAAGGGCTCCGTCAGATTGCTCCTGCTTCTCCCTACTGCTAGCTTCCTTTGGCTTAGGAAAACAAGATTACAGTAAGAAGAGAAACATACAAGCAAAAAGCGAGAAACCTGAGTGCTACCCTCGACTACATTCCCTCCTCCTGCCTAGGTTCCTTCTGCAGCACGCTAACTCTAGTGCCAGACGCGAGTCAGCTGCACTGCTCGTGATGGCTCCTAGGTGCTAGCTGGCTCCCACTGGGCCCACTAGGCATGCACTGCAATCCAGCTGGAATCGAGTTCCTAGCCTGGAATCGCATTCCCAGCTGGAATTGCATTCCCAACCTGGAATCGAATTCCCAGCTGGAATCGAATTCCCTCTTCTGTACCAACCTCCTCGTATTTCCCTGCACTCGGCTCTGTAAAGCGTATGTACAGTACATACCACGCACACAAAAGAAATTAGAGTACAAGTCCAGAAATGCACAATTACCTGGCTGCTGTGTAATTCACGCCTTAGCCTGCTGGCTAGGCGTTAATAACGCGACACCTGACCTTACTGAATGACTAGTCCCACAGCATGTACCTTTAACGCCACGAAGTGTGGATCCCTGTACCGCCCATTCTGGTCCACGTCTCCAAAACACGCTCCCTCCTCTTTCCTCTCCTCCTTCTGCCCCTCCTCCTGCCCGTTTTCCAGCCCCTCCTTCTGCCCATTTCCCTGCCCGTTTTTCTGCCCTTTTCTCTGCCCCTCCTCTTGCTGCCCATCCCTGCGGCCTTTAAAGCTGCTGCTAGAAGGGCAGTCTAAGGGGGAGCGGTTGGGGAAGGAGCCGTTTTGGAGGTGCAGCGAGAGGGGGAAGTAGATCTGCTTGACAGGGCAGAAGGTGATTGAGCGGATGAGGGCGTCGACTGCAGGGAAGAACCCGTCATGGCTGGTGAGAGGGGGGAGTAGGCACAATATATGGGCGAAGAACAGATGATTAATGGGGCGCTGGGGAAGTGGAGCTGTTTGACAGGGCAGAAGGTGATTGCGCGGACGAGGGCGTCGACTGCAGGGAAGAACCTGTCATGACTGTTGAGAGGGGGTGGGGGGAGATGAGTGCAGAAGGGGCGGAGAGGGAGGGAAGGAGACCATTAGGAGGTGCAGGGAGAGGGGAAGGTAGCGACGTGGAGAGGTGGGAGAGGGGGAAGTAGATCTGTTTGACAGGGCAGAAGGTGATTGAGCGGACGAGGGCGTCGACTGCAGGGAGGGAAGATCGTCGTGGCTGTTGAGTAAGAGGTGGGAAATGGGGGCAATGGGGGGACACAGAGGGTGACTGTTGAGAAGAAGGGAAACGGGAGCAAAAGGGGCGGAGAGGAAGGGAAAGAGACGTGGCAGAATGTGATTGCACGGATGAGCGAGTCAACTGCTGGGAAGAACCCATCGTGGCTGGTGAGAGGGAGGGGGGAAGATGCGTGCACAAGGGGCGGAGAGGGAGGGGGGAAGATGCGTGCACAAGGGGCAGAGAGGGAGGGGGGAAGATGCGTGCACAAGGGGCGGAGAGGGAGGGGGGAAGATGCGTGCACAAAGGGGGGAGAGGGAGGGAAGGAGACAATCAGGAGGTGCAGTGCAGGGAGAGGGGAAGGTAGAGACGTGGAGATGTGGGAGAGTGGGGAGTAGATCTGCTTGACAGGGCAGAAGGTGATTGAGCGGACGAGGGCGTCGACTGCAGGAAGGGAAGACCCCGGCCGCTATGTCTATGGCACCTAATAACCAGCAGGCACGCACCTGACGATGAGGAGGGTTTCGTTGATTCCTTGGACTTCAGACAGAGCATTTAACGCCACGCATAGGTACGCTGCCCGCCTGTGCACATACAGCACCACTATCACCACTGCCTGCTCCCCTAAGGCTCTCGGTTATCAGCAGGCACGCACCAACAACAAGCCTGAGGTACCTGCTCACCATGGGACGTCTGAAAAGTCGGTTATCAGCAGGCTTTTGAGACGTCTGAAAAGTCGGTTATCAGCAGGCTTTTGAGACGTCTGAAAAGTCGGTTATCGGCAGGCTTTTGAGACGTCTGAAAAGTCGGTTATCAGCAGGCTTTTGAGACGTCTGAAAAGTCGGTTATCAGCAGGCTTTTGAGACGTCTGAAAAGTCGGTTATCAGCAGGCTTTTGAGACGTCTGAAAAGTCGGTTATCAGCAGGCTTTTGAGACGTCTGAAAAGTCGGTTATCAGCAGGCTTTTGAGACGTCTGAAAAGTCGGTTATCAGCAGGCTTTTGAGACGTCTGAAAAGTCGGTTATCAGCAGGCTTTTGAGACGTCTGAAAAGTCGGTTATCAGCAGGCTTTTGAGACGTCTGAAAAGTCGGTTATCAGCAGGCTTTTGAGACGTCTGAAAAGTCGGTTATCAGCAGGCTTTTGAGACGTCTGAAAAGTCGGTTATCAGCAGGCTTTTGAGACGTCTGAAAAGTCGGTTATCAGCAGGCATTTGAGACGTCTGAAAAGTCGGTTATCAGCAGGCTTTTGAGACGTCTGAAAAGTCGGTTATCAGCAGGCTTTTGAGACGTCTGAAAAGTCGGTTATCAGCAGGCTTTTGAGACGTCTGAAAAGTCGGTTATCAGCAGGCATTTGAGACGTCTGAAAAGTCGGTTATCAGCAGGCTTTTGAGACGTCTGAAAAGTCGGTTATCAGCAGGCTTTTGAGACGTCTGAAAAGTCGGTTATCAGCAGGCACGCACCAACAACAAGCCTGAGGTACCTGCTCACCAACAAGCACGCACCTGACAATGAGGAGGGTCTCGTTGATGCCTTGGACTTCAGACAGAGCATCTAAAGCACCTTCAGGTATTCGCGCCACTATCACCTGCTCCTAGCAGCACCCCTTGCATTGCACGTTGCAGTACCCTTCGCGCTCACACACACTCACAGCGCACCTGACAATGAGGAGCGTCTCATTAATGCCTTGGACTTTAGAGAGAGCATCCAGAGCCACTCTTAGGTACTCTTCCCGCCTGTGCCACTGTCACCCGCTACTCATGCTCCCATCTCTACGCTACCAGCACTTGACCGTCTGCAGGTTCGCACCTGACGATGAGGAGGGTCTCGTTGATGCCTTGGACTTTAGAGAGAGCATCCAGAACCACTTTCAGGTACTCTGCCCTCCTGTGCCAGAGCCACTTTCAGGTACTCTGCCCTCCTGTGCCAGAGCCACTTTCAGGTACTCTGCCCTCCTGTGCCAGAGCCACTTTCAGGTACTCTGCCCTCCTGTGCCAGAGCCACTTTCAGGTACTCTGCCCTCCTGTGCCAGAGCCACTTTCAGGTACTCTGCCCTCCTGTGCCAGAGCCACTTTCAGGTACTCTGCCCTCCTGTGCCAGAGCCACTTTCAGGTACTCTGCCCTCCTGTGCCAGAGCCACTTTCAGGTACTCTGCCCTCCTGTGCCAGAGCCACTTTCAGGTACTCTGCCCTCCTGTGCCAGAGCCACTTTCAGGTACTCTGCCCTCCTGTGCCAGAGCCACTTTCAGGTACTCTGCCCTCCTGTGCCAGAGCCACTTTCAGGTACTCTGCCCTCCTGTGCCAGAGCCACTTTCAGGTACTCTGCCCTCCTGTGCCAGAGCCACTTTCAGGTACTCTGCCCTCCTGTGCCAGAGCCACTTTCAGGTACTCTGCCCTCCTGTGCCAGAGCCACTTTCAGGTACTCTGCCCTCCTGTGCCAGAGCCACTTTCAGGTACTCTGCCCTCCTGTGCCAGAGCCACTTTCAGGTACTCTGCCCTCCTGTGCCAGAGCCACTTTCAGGTACTCTGCCCTCCTGTGCCAGAGCCACTACCTGAAGGTAGTACATCTTTTGAGTCACCTCGATGTACTCAAAAGTCACCTCGAGAGCATCTAGAGCCACATTCAGGTGCTCCTCTCGCCTGTGCACATGCAGCACCACTACCACCTTCGAGACGTCTTAAAAATCACCACTACCACCTCCACTGACTGTCCCCCTGCAGCACGTGGTTACCAGCAGACACGCACCTGACGATGAGCAGGGTCTCATTGATGCTTTGCACTTTAGAAAGAGCATCCAGAGCCACCTTCAGGTACTCTGCCCGCCTGTGCACATACAGCACCACTATCACCCCCACTGACTGCTCCTCTATGCCTGAGGTACCTGCTCACCAACAAGCACGCACCTGACAATGAGGAGGGTCTCGTTGATGCCTTGGACTTTAGAGAGAGCATTCAGAGCCACCTTCAGGTACTCTGCCCGCCGGTGCACGTACAGCACCACGATCACCTGCTCCTCCTGCCCTATCCCTCCGCCTCCCCCGTGCCTTCCTCCTCCTTTTCTCTCCGCTTCCGCCCTTCCCGTTTGCGCTCTTCCCCCTCCCCCTGCCTCGGGAAATTTATCCGCATTCTGAACCGGGAGCTCGTTCCTTGCCAGGAGGTCCGGCCGAGCCACGACGGGAGGCCACGGATTGCCGAGCCTCTTCCATTCAGCCACCGCCCGCTTCGCCTGCTGCTCCTTCCTCGCAACTTCCACCAGCATCTTTAGCAGCATATCGTATTTTGAAATCTTCCTCACCAGCCTCCCTGCAACTATTCGAAGCTCCCCTCCCTCCCCCCCTCCCTTCCCTCCTTTCCCTCCTCCCTTCCCTCCTCCCTTTCCTCCTCCCTTCCCACCTCCACCCCCACCTCTCCTCCCTCCTTTCCCGCTCGCCCTTCTTTTCCCCTCAACCCCTCCGTCCTCCCCCTTCTGCTGCTGCAATGCCAATGCCTGTGCGTCTCTCTCCTCTAGCTTTCGTAGCCACAGCGGCTTATGAGGAGACGAAGATTCATTCTCTCCTAACTCCTCCCCCTCCCCTCCTCCTTCCTCTTCTCCCCTTTCTCCCATCCCCTCACCTTCCTTCATTCCCCTTCCCCCTACCAGCCAGCCCCACCATCCCCTGCCTGCGCTTTTCCGCCCCTCCGCCGTTTCCCCCCCTCCGCCCCAACCTGTTCCGCTGGTCTCTCCCCTCAGCCCTGCTGTCACGCCTCCATTTGCCCCTCTGCTTACCTCTCCTCTCCCCCTTCCGCTCCCCCCTCCCATCCACCCTCCTCCTCTCCCCCTTCCGTTACTGACCACTAACGGAGCCGCTTTCAAGCCGGTTGACTGCTGCAGTCTGTTGAGTGACGTGATCGTGACGTCATCAAGGCCCAATGAGATGCGAGACGTGTGCATAACTGGTGGATCCAGACCGGTTACATACTCAGATGCTACTGTAACACTGCTGGTTACATCATCAGTTGCTCCTGTAACAGTGCTGCTTGCATTGTTGATCTTCGCTCGTGCAGGACTGCTGGTAACCAGCTTCTCGCTTTGGAACCCGCTGCGCGCCGAATCAGATACAGTGCGGCCGATTTTACTGTAGCCTGCTATAGCAAGAGAAGTATCGGCTACACTGGAGAAAGCAGTCGCATCTAGGGCAGCTAGATAAGTTTTTCCTCGGGCAGATGAAACATCCGACGTGGAAGGGAGGAAAGAGGAGGATTGGTAGTGATGGAGGAAAAATATACCTGCTAAGAGCTGAAGGAGAAGGGCTACTGGGAGGAGAATCCGCTGAAATAGAGCCAACGTTGACTTAAACCGGAACGTTAACGGAATCCGTTTGGACTTCGTCGGTGGTTTGACGTTCGCACGTGCGTCAGCGACGAGAGATCCCCATGATTCTAAAAAAGTCATGGTCGCCAATGTGGCGAATAAACACCTTCTGGTGTTACCACATGCGCGAACGAAGATGCGACATTACAAGTTCAGTTGTGCGAATGAGGTAACACATCAGATCAACTGAGCCGCCGATCTGCCGAGGTGTTTCGCATCGAAGGGCAGGAGTAAGGCTCCACGAAACGAAGAACGAAGCCTATCGCAACAACAGGAACTCCTTACGACGAGGCTTGATCTACAACAGACATATGCTTCCATAGCGATAACGAAGGGTACACATGTCTAACGAAGGAAGCTAGACAGGAGTACCTCCTATAATGGTTAGGCCTGAAGGGATGCTGCCCGAGCGCAGGAAGCGCAATGAAGAGTGGAAAGCACCTCCTCCGGTAATTATAAACTACGTCGATAGGAGCTCCATGATACAGCAAGTTCCGTTCCGACCCACTAGTCAAATTCGAATACCACTGTAGAGCGTCCATGGTCGGCCAACAGTCCCAAATGTGTCAGAAGTGTCAGAATTGTGTGGCGGGAAGAGAGTAATCAAGCACTTGTTCAGTTGAGGAAGATCCGGGATCTCGTTTGTGGCTTTCAGTTGAAGAAGAGTTGAACTCGTAAGAGCAGTCAAACTGTTGTCAACCATTGGATGCGATTTCTTACACTAAAATCCTGCACTTCTAAAAACCTGTAAGGAATTTTCTCTACATTCCTTAGCGCGCCCTGCAACATCGCGTACAGCCGCAGCCGCTGTTCGCCCGTTACTGCTAACGGGGCTTCACCGACTTCGCGCGCACTGTTTCACCAAACCTCGCACTGCTGGCCCGGCCGTGTCGGCCTACGCTTCGGGACTAGCCCGAGCCTCGCTGCCAGCGTAGTACCAGCTAGCTCGCACGCACCGCGTTACCGTTTGCATGTTTCGCGTATAAATGTTCGCTCATGCCTTCGCTCACATTTTGTACTCGTTTGACACCTTAGTGCAATCCTCGCTACCTCGATTCATTGCACCCGTAACAAAACCTTTATTTCGACACGCATGTGTCGCTCAGTAGTTTTCGCCACCGAACCATCAAGTGAATCGTTATCTGTAAATCAGGAATACATTCAGAACTTCACGCATGTGCAATCATTAGGCTCAACCATTTCAAAGAAATGATATACCGTCTCTCACAGAAGAATAATATCACCCGACTGTACAAGTGTTTGGATCGGCCTATATCGCAGAATGTGGAGCTCTCCAGGCGCCATGCCGATGACATCATCAAGCCTGGAGGTTTGGAAGAGGTTTGGAAGAACAGAGTGTGAGTTTCAGGAAAGAAAAGCTAGGGGGGGGGGGGGGGGGGGGGGCAGAGGGAAGAACAGATAACAGGGTTGAAAGATACATGAATACGAAAGCCTCTTGTTCAAACGGAACATGAAATAGATGTCACACCTCAAAAGGAACTCGGGATATGAGAAGTTCAGCTTATTTTCCTCTCTTCTCTGAGAACCCGAATACTCCACCTTGCATCCTAGAATCCATTTTTTCAACCTATATAACTCACTGGGGATCAATCTCTACAGACAGAAGAAGGCGTGTGGAGGCACAGAGCATGCAAACATATCAACGGCTCAAATGCGTGATGTTTTGCCTGCCTTCCCTGTTATTCGATTCCGAAAATTCTCAAAAGCTGTTTGATCTATTGAACCAGTTACTCCTCAGTAATACTCACTGGGTCCAGCTCAACAGATGGTAGGGGACTGGTGGCCACTCAGAATACAAGACGTGAACAGAACACTAATGTCCCAGCGGTAATAAGTCACAACCTGTTACCCCTGGTTGCACTCACTCTGGGTCCAGCTGAACAGACAGCAGAGGGCGAGTGGCCACACAGAACACAAGATGTGAACCAAACACAGCCGTTATAAGTCACAACCTGTTAAACCTCTGTATTACTCACTCGGGGTCCAGCTGGACAGACGGCAGAGGGCGAGTGGCCACACAGAACACAAAAGTGTCGAGGTCGGGAGTGGGGACTGCAGAGGAGGGGGTCATCCAGTTAGAAAGAGATGGGTAATGTGGTTTGGATATCAAGGGTGGTTTGGACAGCTGGACAGACGGCAGAGGGCGAGTGGCCACACAGAACACAAAAGTGTCAAGGTCGGGAGTGGGGACTGCAGAGGAGGGGGTCATCCAGTTAGAAAGAGATGGGTAATGTGGTTTGGAAATCAAGGGTTTGGACAGCTGACAGACGGCAGGGGGCGAGTGAGTGGCCACACAGAACACGAAAGTGTCAAGGTCGGGAGTGGGAACTGCCAAAGAGGGATTAATCGGTTGGGAAGAGACGGTAGTGTGGTTTGGAAATCAAGGGTAGCTCGGCCAGCTGAACAGACGGCAGAGGACGAGTGGCTACACAGAACACAGATGTGTCGAGGTCGGGAGTGGGGACTGCCAAATAAGGGGTATTCAGTGGAAATGACATGGGTAAGTTGGCTTAAAAGATCCGGGTCTATCAATATGAAAAACAGGGGTAGTCCAAAGGCACTTGTAATCTGGAAGCTAGGAAATGAGCTTTCATATAAGTGAAAACTGCATAACTCATTCACATTCTAGGTGACTGGTACGGATGGGTGAATCCTGAGCCTCAACTTACTCATACTCATGGCATAGCAGAAATGTGCCTGTTTCACCAAGCAGACCATGAAACCCTGAGTCTTGTTTTGAGTCGACTCAAAACAACACTTACTCATACTCATGGCATAGCTGAAATCCGCCTGTTTCAGCGTGCAGACCATGAAACCCTGAGTCCAGCATTCATTCATGAATTCTCAAACCCTCAAACTCTACAACACGAGATCTGCCTGCTTGAAATTTGACCTGTAGCGCCGTGGCAAGCACGAGAGCACAGCAGAGGCCCAAAGTCCAGCTCACTCACACACAAGCTCTTAACCCTCCATCCATGAACCCTTAATTTGTGATTCTAGTACTCACTCATATCAGGGGCTTCTCGGGAGACAGCTTGCTTCAGCAGCGTGGCAAGCGCAAGAGTGCAGCAGAACCCGTAAGTCCAGCTCTCTCACACACAAGCTCTTAACCCTCCGTCCATGAGCCCCTAATCACAGCCCTGTGATTCTACCACTCACTCATCTCAGGGGCTTCACTGCAGTACGCCTGCTTGAGAATGGACTGGTAGCAGGGCAGGCGAGGGAGTACAGAGGAACCCTTGCATCCAGCGCTCACTCACAAACTCTGAAACCCTTCATCCATCAACCCTTCATCTGTGATTGTAGCACTCACTCATATCTGGTGTTTCGCTCGAGTCCGCCTGCTTCAGGATGGACTGGTAGCGGCGTGGCAGGCGCGTGAGCGCAGTCCTGTCCAGATGCGCCTGCACCAGATCTACCTGCCTGGAGGACACAGGGAGAAGATGGCGATCGAGAGTTAAGCGAGAAACACGGTCTTGTCCAGGCACGCCTGCACCAGATCTACCTGCCTGGAGAAGAGAAGAAAGAAGATGGTAGAGAGGGAAGATGGTAGAGAGGGAAGATGGTAGAGAGGGAAGATGGTAGAGAGGAAAGATGGTAGAGAGGGAAGATGGTAGAGAGGGAAGATGGTAGAGAGGGAAGATGGTAGAGAGGGAAGATGGTAGAGAGGGAAGATGGTAGAGAGGGAAGATGGTAGAGAGGGAAGATGGTAGAGAGGGAAGATGGTAGAGAGGGAAGATGGTAGAGAGGGAAGATGGTAGAGAGGGTTGATCGGGGAGCGCAGTCCTGTCCAGATGCGCCTGCACCAGGTCTACCTGCCTGACAGGAACCAGGTGAGCCGGGAAGAGGAGGGGGGGGGGAAAAAGAGGTAGATTTGAGAGCGGAGTCCTGTCCAGATGCGCCTACACCACATCTACCTTCCTGGAGCAAGAAGGAAAGGGGGGAAGGACGGGCAGGGGGTGGTTAAAAAATTGGTCATTCTAAAAGCACCAGATCATTAAGGGGAAGAAGAGGGGGAGGACGTTTGAGGAACCTCAAGAGCAAGCACGGCCCTGACCAGGTGCGCCTGAATCAGATCTACCTGCCTGCAGGAAACAGGAAGGGGAGGCGGAGCAGGAGGGGTGGGTGATAATGGGTTGCAATACATCTATGAAAAAAAAAAAAAAAAAAAAAAAAAGAACAGGGAAAGCACGACAACACTGACAGTTTTGTATACCAGAGCACAAGAGCAAGCACACACTCTTGCTACGCTGATAACCACACACGTACTCGTCACAAATTTACAGACATGTACGAACAGAAACTAGTTCATTGATTCTCAAGCTGGCTGTTGAAAAAAACGCACGCGCCCTCATCCAACCAGACCAGACCAGCCTTCCCATGTGAATCAAGGGGTTCGTTTCAATGCCCAGGAGTGCTTACCTATTGAGTTAATGGAATGGAAATAGGGCCTTCACAGCCCATCTGTCCACCTTCACCTGTTTCGCTCTCAAGTGATCATCAGAGGACTTCTCAAATCGTCTCAAAAACTCGTTTCTTGTGAGAGCAATGGAGACCGCCTCTCACAGCTTCTCAGAGCAATAGATGGGGCACACACAAGCAAGCAAGCACGCGTACCTGTCACAGTACCGCTATTCCCCACGTTAGCCCCGGCCGTGGCATTCTTGAAAAGAGCACTAGAGAAAGCACACAGCAGCAACCACGCATACCTGTCACATTGCCGCTGTTCCCCACGTCAGCCCCGGCTGAGGCATTCTCGAAAAGTTGAAGAGAACTAGATCAAGCAAGCACACACACTCAAGCACACGTACCTGTCGCAGTAACGCTGCTCTCCATCTGACAGCCGGCTGTGGTAGCTCTCCTCGCCAGCAAAGTGCAGAAAGAAGCGGTCGATCTGCATTTGGGGTGGGAGAGAGGAGGGAGAGAG